CGTAGAATCCCGTATCATACGCGTGAGAAGTTAGAGAAAGAGGTGAAAAGGTTGGAAGAATTGGACATCATAGAGAAAGTAGATGGTCCAACCCCGTGGGTTACGCCAGTAGTTGTTGCGCCAAAACCGAAGAATCCCGATGAAGTGCGCCTATGCGTCGATATGCGTCAGCCAAACCGCGCCATAGTGAGGGAAAGACATATTACCCCCACAGTGGATGATGTGTTAGCTCAGTTGAATGGTGCGAAAGTGTTCTCAAAACTTGACTTGCGTAATGGGTACCACCAGTTGGAGCTTACCCCCGAGTCAAGACAAATCACAACGTTTACAACTCATGTCGGTTTGAGAAGGTATAAACGCATGATGTCATCATCGAATCAGGTGCACCGTGCTGCCACCTGCATTGATAAAGATGACTTAAATTTGGCTTTTCTTCTAGTGCAGCAGGACCGGTCGGACGATGTTAGCACCCGTGTATGCTCTGCTGGTGTTTGTAGCACCATAGTATCGCAGTTACCCTTCCATTGCTTCCTAACCATCGCTCCTGTCTGTGAAACCACATCTATACTGCAGTCTCCCATAGCTCCCGTCTCTGAAACTATCTGTATCCTGCATTCCCCCATAGGTTCTGTCTCTGAGACTATCTGTATCCTGCATTCCCCCTAGCTCTTGTCTCTCGAACCACCTGTACCATGCATTCCCCTATAGCTCCTGTCTGTATGTGTATACCCATCATTGACCATGCCTGTTTCTTGCAAGCAATATCTCTTCCAGAAGATCTGAATCTTCTGTCTAAGAATGTCTTGATTGATGCACATACTATGATGTGAGCAGTGTATATGCTCGCTCGATTGCGTATCGCGCCTATAGACATTGCATGGCTTGTAGCAGGGCACGCCTCTCACTGAGAGAGTACACAGATGTGGAGTGTGTGCATGCATGCATGAGCGGGTTTGGTTGTCATGATTTGAAATCTGTTTGTTGTTGTTGTTGTTGTTAATTATTATTATTATTATTATTATTAATGCTAGTGTTTTTTAAATAGTAGACATGTGGTTGATATTAATTTACGCTGTACATATTACATTTCTCTTCTATATTCTGTCACGACAAGTATATATCATTGACCTTGACTGTACACATTGCGCACAATATATACTTAATTAGCAATGCTGTACTTACTACGTGTGGCGTTGCTGTTTCGTTAGCTCGTCTTACTTTTTCTACCCTCAGTTGTTCTCCTCCCTCCAAACCGAAGACTCCAACGTTTGTAAACTACCTATTCGTGAATACGCATCCGATTATCAAGCCAATTAACGAACCTGTTAATTGAGCGATTAAACTAACCGTCGTCTGGCTGGCGTCTGTTGCAGTTTGGTGACTCTCAGAAGCTCCGCCTGATGAGAATTCTGCGAAGCACGGTGATGGGTCGAATTGTTGGCGGTTGGAAGCCGCTGGACATGTCTCCTGTCAAGAACGATCCGTGTGGAGGTAATACCATGTTTGTTTCGGCCATGTCTGTTAATGAGAGGAGGAATTATGTCCATGTATTGGCCATGTTTGTTTACAAGTCAGAATTATGACCGTGTGTCCGCCATGTTTGTTTACCAGCAGGTATCTATAACCCTGCATCAGCCATTTTTGTTTACGAGTGGATCACCCGAAGTGGAATTACACTATATAACTTCACGTGTCCGCTCATGTTTGTTTGTCATCAGGAGGTAAACTAAGACACGTGTCCGCCATGTTGTGTATGAGGGGGTTAACTATAAACTTACGTGTCCGCATGTTTGTGTATGCAGGGCGGTAACTATAACCTACCGTCCGCCATGTTGTGTATGAGTGGTAACTATAACTACGTGTCCGCCATGTTTGTGTATGAGGCGGATAACTATAACTACGTGTCCGCCCATGGTTTGTGTATGAGTGGGTAAACTATAACTACTGTCGCCATGTTGTGTATGAGGTAACTATAACTACGTGTCCGCCATGTTTGTGTATGAGGGGGTAACTATAACTACGTGTCCGCCATGTTTGTGTATGAGGGTAACTATAACTACGTGTCCGCCATGTTTTGTCTATGAGGAGGTAACTATAACTACCTGTCCGCCATGTTGTGTATGAGAGGTAACTATAACTACGTGTCCGCCCATGTTTGTGTATGAGGGGGTAACTATAACTACGATGTCGCCATGTTTTGTCTGAGGGGGAACTATAACTACGTGTCCGCCAGTTTTGTGTATGACGTGGATAACTATAATTACGTGTCGCCATGTTTGTGTATGAGTGGCGTAACTATAACTACGTGTCCGCCATGTTTGTTTACGAGTGGATAAACTATAACTACGTGTCCGCCATGTTTGTGTATGAGGGGGTAACTATAACTACGTGTCCGCCATGTTTGTGTATGAGGGGGTAACTATAACTACGTGTCCGCCATGTTTGTGTATGAGGGCGGTAACTATAACCTACGTGTCCGCCATGTTTTGTATGAGGGGATAACTATAACTACGTGTCCGCCATGATTGTGTGATGAGGGAGGTAACTATAAACTACGTGTCCGCCATGTTTGTGTATGAGTGGATAACTATAACTACGTGTCCGCCATGTTGTGTATGAGGGGTAACTATACTACGTGTCCGCCATGTTGTGTATGCAGGGGTCTAACTAAACCCGTGGTCCGCCATGTTTGTGTATGAGGGGGTAAACTATAACTACGTGTCGCCATGTTTGTGTATGAGGGGGTAACTATAACTACGTGTGTCCGCCATGTTTGGTATGAGGGGTAACTATAACTACGTGTCGCGCCATGTTTGTGCTAATGAGGGAGTGAGGACTATAACTACGTGTTCGCCATGTTTGTGTATGAGGGGTAACTATAACTACGTGTCGCGCCATGTTTGTGTATGAGGGGGTAAAAAACTATAACTACGTGTCCGCCATGTTTGGTAATGAGGGTAACTATAACTACGTGTCGCCATGTTTGTGTATGAGCTGGCGTAACTACATAATACGTGTCCGCCATGTTTGTGTATGATGCGGTAAACTATAACTACGTGTCCGCCATGTTTGTGTATGAGTGCATGGTAACTATAACTACGTGTCCGCCATGTTTGTGTATGAGTGAGGCTAACTATAACTACGTGTCCGCCATGTCTTGTGTATGAGGAGGTAACATAAACTACGCTGTCCGCCAGAGTTGTGTATGAGGGGTAACTATAAACTACGTGTCGCCATGTTTGTTGTATGATGGTAACTATAACTACGTGTCGCCATGTTTGTGTATGAGGAGGTAACTATAACTACTTGTCTGCCATGTTTGTGTATGATGGCGGTAACTATAACTACGTGTCCGTCATGTTTGTGTATGAGGGGGTAACTATAAACTACGTGTCCGCCATGTTGTGTATGAGTGGTAAAACTATAACTACGTGTCGCCATGTTTGTGTATGAGGGGGTACTATAACTAAGGTGTCCGCCATGTTTGTGTAGTGAGTGGGGTAACTATAACTAGTGTCGCCATGTTTGGTAGTGCGGTAACTATAACTACGTGATCCGCCATGTTTGTGTATGAGGGGTAACTATAACTACGTGTCCGCCATGTTTGTGTTGAGGCGGAACTATCAATAGTTCCGCATGTTTGTTGTATGAGGGGTAACTATATAACTACCGTGTCCGCCATGTTTGTGTATGAGTGCGTAACTATAACTACGTGTCCGTCATGTTTGTGTATGAGGGGGTAACTATAACTACGTGTCCGCCATGTTTGTGTATGAGAGGTAACTATAAAACTACGTGTCCGCCATGTTTGTGTATGAGGGCGGTAAACTATAATACTTACGTGTCCGCCATGTTGTGTATGAGGAGGTAACTATTAACTACGTGTCCGCATGTTTGTGTATGAGGGGTAACTATAACTACGTGTCGTCATGTTTGTGTATGAGGGGTAACTATAACTACGTGTCCGCCATGTTTGTGTATGAGTGGATAACTATAACTACCTGTCCGCCATGTTTGTGTATGAGGAGTAACTATAACTACCGTCGTCCGCCATGTTTGTGTATGAGGGGGTAACTATACACTCGTGTCCGCCATGTTTGTGTATGAGCGGGTACTATAACTTACCGTGTCGTCATGTTGTGGTATGAGGGGGTAACTATAAACTACGTGTCCGCCATGTTTGTGTATAGGGAGGTAAACTGATAACTACTGTCCGCCATGTTTGTGTATGAGGGGTAACTATAACCGATTGTTGGATGTGCGTATGTTCTTTGTTCTCCGTATTATACGAATAAACGATAACCACACCTCCTGTTTTTCTCCATCGCTTTTTTTCCTCGTGCCACACGAATTTGCCGCAGCTGCGCTCTTGCTTGGCGTGCGACTTTTACGTTTTCTCGTTCTCCATGGTTTTAGCGAAGGGTCGCACGAACCTGGATACGGCGTGAACAGTTCACGCTGGCTGAGGGCGTCGCGCGAGCTTCTCCTCTACCCCTGGTCCTCATCCAAGGTTAGTTCCTCCTCCACCATAATATCCTCCTCCCTCGGCTTGTCCTCCTCTACCCAGTTCCTTCTTCATCATTCTACACCATTAATTCAACGTTACATTATTAACAATTATATAACACCAAAATATGATAACAATTTTTCTCGTATTAACCCCTGATGTTACTTGTCTTACAATCTCATGTGCTCAGGCTCTCGCCTATCTTGTTTCCTGTCTCACACCTCATGGCGCGTGTCTAGTGCGTTCACAACATCTCACTTCTCACATATTGTGTCTCAACACCTCATGCCTCGGTCTCATTCCTGCGTCTCATCTCTAGCATGTTCACATGTCTCATATCTCGTGTCTCACACCTCGTGCCTGATCTCTAGCATTTCACATGTCTCACCTCGTGTCTCACACCTCACACCTAGTGTCTCACACCTCACACCTCATGCCTCATCTCTAGCAGTTTCACATGTCTCACATCTCGTGTCTCACACCTCGTGCCTGATCTCTAGCAGTTTCACATGTCTACATCTCGTGTCTCACACCTCATGTCTCATCTCTAGCAGTTCACATGTACACATCTCGTGTCTCAACACCTCATGTCTCATCTCTAGCAGTTTCACATGTATCACATCTCGTGTCTCACACTCTCATGTCTCATGTCTACGCGTTTCACATGTATCACATTCGTGTCTCACACCTCATGTCTCATGTCTAGCGGCTTCGTGTGTCTCATGATCTCGCATCTCACACCTATGTCTCATGCCTCGCCGTATCATGTCTAGCAGTTAGCGCGTCTCACCTCGCGTCTCGTATCCTCGCAGGTTGTGGAGCACGCGTGCCGCACACGATCCCGGCGCGCACCATCACGCAGCGAACCTCGCCCCTCCACCGGCGCCACCTGCCAACCCACCTGCGTCTCCGACCAAGTCCGCGAGTCCCTCGTCGTCGATGACGACCAATCCTCACGTCGTCGTCGCCGGCGGCCTCTGCGAGGTCAGGGTCACGAAGCCAGCCTGGCGAGGTCGTCGCGTGCAGCTGCACTCGACCCGCGTTCACGCCGAGCAGGATTCCGGCGCCGAAAGGATCGCGAGAAAATCCTGGCGGAAACCGTAGATGGTGCCACCGGAACGGGAATGGGCGGCGGGAGAGCGCCATCTAGTGAGCATCCTGCGTGGAGAAGACGTGCTGTGAGATGCAAATGGCGGCTCGAGTTGGCGGGAGTCGACGTTCACTTTGTGCCTAACACTGCCGACGTTATCGTTAATGGTCGATAATTATTATTAACTGCAGTTGAAAATATCATTGCAGTCTCTACCCCAGTCGTGCGTCTGTTCTTTCAACTCAGTCGTGCGTATAGCCATGACTTCAGTCATTCGCCCAGTCTTCACATCCAGGCACGACATCCAGTCGTGATCTGGAGTCGTCACTCTGGTCATCCACCCAGGCTTGAATCCCTCCACTCTAGTCATTAAATCCAGCACATCCGCCCAAAACTTGTAACAAGTTGCAACATTTCGCGCTTTGAATGGTTGAATGCAACCTAGTTACGAGTGAGGTTAGCACAGTGATGGAAGATAGAGAATATTTAAAAGTTCTTTATTATGTTATAATGATATTAAGTAATGTTATTACCCAAAAATAAAACGAGATGCTTCCAATCATGTGCTTCGTCATCGATGATGTTCACTCCGCGTGATGGCATAAAAGTTTCGTAGTTCGTTTAATTTCGGTTTTGATACAGTTTAACCGTTCGTTCTTCTGTTTGTTATATTTAGATTAAGAGTTTGTTTGTTTTGATTGTTTGTGTTTGTTTATTTTGTGGAAAGTTCGAGTGCTCTGTGACTTATAAAAGTGACTTATTAAGCCTTTTCATGTTGCTACATGTCTTGGGAAAAATGTCCTGTGATTTTTGCTCGTATAACGTTGACATATTTTTCCACCCAGAGGGCAGCGTAGATTTTAATCGAGGTTTTTTGGCCTCTAAGTTATGTTAATTCGTCTTGAAGGGTATGCAGCTATATATATATATATATATATATCATACGCGAACAACCATGTAGATATGAAAATAAATGCTCCCTTGGGAAATTTTTAAAAAATGGTGCAATTTGGTTATCTATATTATTTCTATGTGTTTGAATACACAACGAACACCCATATGTATGTATGCATAGTTTAGCGCCCTTAATTCGCTGCTAGAGTCAAGGTGGCGCTCAAGTGACATGACCAATCGTCTTCCTATCCTGTTTTATCTATACGCCTTGCCAAGAAGTCGCCGTGTTGACAAGGTAATAAAGACTTTTTATCCTACACCTTCGCACTTTAGTTTCAAAAATTACCGCAAGGACCACCACTCAAAATACTCGGAAACCATCAGCTTCGGGATCAAACTCCACGACAGATGGCGCTCTCTATCATGGGCTCAATCTACCACTTGCCCACAAGCAGATTTCCATTACAACAATTATTTGTAACACTTTTTTTTACTACAAGTTTTACAGCAGCCACGTTACTCGTATCATATGTCGAGTGTGGTGTAATTGTCCGAGTGGGTAATTGTCCTGGTAGGGAATTGTCCTGGTGGTTAATCGTCCTGGTGGGTAATCGTCCTGGTCTGTATAATCATCTGGGTGGTAAGTTGTTCCAGTGGCGGTAATTGTCACGTGCGTAATTGTCCTGGTGTGGTAATCATCTGGTGGGTAATTGTCCTGGTGGGTAATCATCTTGGTGGGTAATTGTCCGGTGGGTAATTGTCCAGTGGGTAGTTGTCCGGATACGATTACTATTACTATTAGTTATTACCGTTTCTTGGAGGGCAATGGAGCTAATCTGAAACAAATACTTACTATATATTACTACTAGCTGCGTTGTACCCGCTGCGCTAGGTAAAATCGTGCTACTAATTCATACTACTAAACTAGAAACGAGCAGTTGTCGCCAACTACATGTATCCCCGTGATCTAGTGATGATAGAAAATCTCTTAAGGAGTAGAAGGTGCAGGTAAAGTTAAATATGTCACGAAGACAAAGGTTTGTTAAACAACTGGTGTGCCTCAGAATGTGCAATTATAATGGAATCTGGTTACCTAGGAGGCGAAGAGGAAATGTAAGTCACGGTGAAGGTCAAAACTAAGGTCAAGGGCCAGTTGGTGTTTGGTATGTGACAGACCTTCTCCCAAGATGTGTAAGCATACCAAGTGTTGGTTGCGCTAGGTCAATTAGGTGCTGAGTTTAGAGAGCGGAAGAGAAAATATGATCAAGGTCAAGGTAAAGGTGAAATAAAGGTCGAAGTGACGCTGGTGGGCGTTTTTACCCGATCTCGGATCATCTTCAAATTTGGCATGAAGGTGCGTTATGGTAAAGCGAAGACGCCATCGTTTTTGGTGTGGGCAGAGTCATCGTTGCATGGTAACAACATTTTGTGGAAATATTGTAGAACCTGTAACTTGTGCGTTTTTACCCGATTGTCATGGAATTGGCCCACAGGGCCGATATAACATGTCCTATATATATATATATATTTGATGACAATCATAAATAAATATAAATTTAAATACAAATTTTAATACAAATATTAAATTTAAAATTTTTATTTTTTAAAATTTTATATTTTAATTAAGTTTAAATTTTAATATAAATTTTAATATAAATTTTATTACAAATATAAATTTCATGACAATCTGCGTTAAAGTGCAGAAGTTACAGGGTCTAAAATATTTCAACAAAAAATGTTGTTACCATCTGGAACGATGACTCCGTCCACACCAAAAACGATGGGTGTCTTCGCTTTACGATAAGCGCACCTTCATTCGAATTTGAAGATGATCCGAGAAGACTGCCAGCCGGTAGAGCATTCACAAGGAAATCTCTACGGCGGCCTCGCGGGCGGCGCGACGATCCAAACCAATAGTATCCCCACGAACTTCGTTCGGGGGATACAATAATCGAACACAATAGGAACATTGGCGTGAAAAATCGACAATAACATTGCACACAATATCAATATTTACAAATTAGCATGGGAAAAAAACTGTTACGTATGACATTTATATGACAGCACAACCCAACTTAGAACCCCTGGAACATAATAGTAATATGGTGTAAATGACAAAAAGGTATTATAACAGCATGTACGAGAATGGGTTGGACTTTTCATTTCAAAACCTCTTGAGTAAACAATGTTTTTCGGTTATTCTCTGGTGGAAATATATAAAAGACTTCTGGCGTCTCGAACTGTTGAGCTCCCCACGTACGGCATGTACGTATGCGTACGTACGGCACGTAACAGCATGTAACGAATGGGTTGCACGTCTCATTTCAAAAGCCTCTTGATAAACATGCAGTCGTAAACCTCTGAACTCGGTCCCTGGCTGTGCTCTGTTTTAGTATTGGTTCGGTTTCACATACCAGCAGCTGATGAAGTGACGGGAAAGAAATAGTCATCGATATTTCTGTGTGTAGCAGCACGATACAGTGGGCTGCTGACATTGTAGTGGAGATTTGACGTTTTGACAGGTTATTTTCGTCTAGGAACACTGCCCCGGGTATAAGAGGGATGGCCCTGTGAAAATGACGGTATCTGCGACATGACAACCAACACATAAATGTCAAATTTTATTCGGCCAACTCACATAATCTTGGAGTAAGGCGTAATGACGACAAAAAGAGACTACCCTTGCAATATTGTTAGAAGCCTGAAATCATTATTTGTGTATAGTTGTAACCATATATTGTATTACTGCGAGTGTCAATTCGGTGGCCACTGAACAGCAATAAGGGCTCTATTTATTAGAATTTGATTTAACTCGTATAAAAAAAATCAACATAAACAACTATCTGATATCAATAATGAATGAGAATCGGCTAAGCTCCAGATCAAAATATATGAAGATTTTTTAAGGATATATATGTGTAGCACTTGGTTACGAACCGTGTCATGTTCTTCCTTTTTATGTGCTTGACCCTGCACTACCGTAACT